AGCCGTGGCAGAGGGAAAACATCCTTTGGACTGCGGTGCGCGGTTTTTGAGGCACTAAGTCGGTGTCAACTGGTTGATCCAAGCTAGACATGGCTTTCAGGCGTGGTCTACACCATTGGCCGATTCCTGCGCATCTCGGCAAAAAAATATACTGGGCTGGGTGGTTTGGGAGACATATGAGGAGACGATGAGAAGATGATGTATATTTCCGATTATGGCCCTGGCTGTTCCCAAGCGCAAGATTTGCGTGCTGCTTCTCATTTGAACCGGTGGTTTGCGCAGGGCAGGCCAAACAGATGCCGTTTTAAAACATCGATCCTCAAGGCATTCCAGATGCACCTCCTTCTACACAGAAAGACGTCGATGTCGTGATCGATCCTCTTTAGGATCGCCATGTTGTTTGTCCTTCTAGTAGCGATGCCAGCAGCTACTAGTCCCCAACTTGGGGGGTGATTATGGGATCTGCAGGTCCCGCAGCAATCTGCACCAGGACGATGCATCAGATCCACTTCACATCGCCGGTGGAAGCGGAGTTCCGACCGGCGGTCGAGACGGTGTCGAAAAACCCGGCGTACTCGAGAGCAGAACACCCCGGGTTGCCACCGCCCCTCGGGTTGCCACCGCATGGGGGGACCATCCGGACCCACACCTCCCAGAAGATCTCGATTCCACACCGAAGATCTCGCCTCGCGAGCGGTTGGTCTTCGCGGCCAAAGAACACAAGATGCCGTGGTCGGCCAAGGCTTGGTGTTTCAAGATGCCTCGAAGCGGATCATTTATGAAGAGATGAACGACACCGACTTGCTTCAGGACCGTTTTGTTTTTTTCCATGTGTCTTGTCGTTTGCGACGCAGGTGGGAGGAGTCTGATTGGTGGGACCTTTTCATGCAGGTCTTTTCCTCGCTGACTGACGGGTTCCAGGAGTTAGACGGTCAGACATCATGCACCCTCTAATAGCTCGCCTGCAACTCATAAGTCAACCAGAGCCTCCATGTCGGAGATGGAGGAAACCTAGTTGCAGCTCTGCGACGAGATCCTCCACTCCGTCGACCGAGCGTCGACCGAGGGGTCGACCGGGTTTGCGGGACATTCGCACGGGTCGACCGGGTTGTGGCGAGAGATGGTGCGAGAAGGCCACCGATCAGCTGGCAGTTCAGCTGGCAGCGACATGCTGTTGAAAAGGAAATAGGTTAGTGAACTAACCACAAGAATTGTTGGCAGGGTGTGTGTTATTCTGGAGGAAAGCAAATGGTCACACCTGAAAAAGACCATCGAACGCACCCCTGGCACAAGCAAACATCATCAAACACCCGAAACATCTCCAAAAAAGTGATTTTTAGGGAAAAGGATGGAAAGGATACCTCAACATACCTCAACAAACAAAAGTACATGGGCCCGGGTCCTTCCTTAACTCCTGCGCACTGCTTTGGCAGATCTGGTTCCTAACATCTGCATCTCAGCAGCTCCAGCAGCTCACTCCGGCACGAAGCTGCAGGACCTGTGCAGCGGGATTTACATTGCTCGGATCACAGGGGACTTGAAGAGTGAGTACGCGTGCACTGGACAGCAGGGAAGATGAGCAGGTCGGTTGGGACAGGGTCAGGTCGGAAAAGCATCGCGTCGTGTCGATGAGTATGCCGCCGGTCGTGGGGATAGGTGATGGAAGTGACTAAAGTCCAATGTGCAGTTGACTGATCTAAGCCTTATAAGTAAGTTGCTTTATAACTCGATATCTCAACAATTCTCAACAGGTCAGATCATCCAGATTCTTTGGTACATGATGAATGTTGGAGAGTTGATAGTAGGAGACAGGTTGTTGGTTGGAAAGGGTCGGAAAAAAACACATCCACCAGATTTGGCTACTGGCTAGTGGATGCTAGCTGCTTAGTGGTATAGACTCTCATGCCAATGGGTTTTGCACCTTGGAGATGACATGTGCACTTGCTCAATGCCGGAGCCCAAAAGACGTGATTCATGCTCCTGTGCTTCCTGGAACGGTCGCATGAAAGAGGAGGACCCACCAAACAGATCAGCACAGATGAAGGTTTAATTGTTTGAGATGAATCTGTTTCAAAACCCAAGATGCTTTGAACATAGAGGTTTTGAGAAATACAGATCATGCAGGCCATAAAAGGTGTTTGTGACTAGTCAGGGGATATTGTGAGCTTTCAGGTGCCATTGTGGCACTGAAACGTTGTTTTTCAAGCCTTCGTCTTCCACATCTTCGAATTCGTTCTTCAAACACGTGGAGTGAGCCGTCCAGCTCCGGTCTGCGGGTCTGTTCATTTGTTTCGCGCCAAGCAACCAGACCCGAGCCCTGAGGTTCTACTACGAACTGATCCGCATCTACCGGAGCCCTGAGCTACTCTTGGACATCTCGAAGCCCAAATCCAAAGTGGTGCGGCTCCCTGGGCGAAACGACACACACACACACACAGTACAGCCGGTGGAGGGAGTTCGTCCCTGTGGCCAGTGGCTGGGAGGCCAAAGCCACAAGTTCTTTGTTTCCAAGCTGACAAGAGAGGATCCTCCTTGAAAGAAGTCGCAAGTTGCATTCGGGGCATATGAGGTGCCTAAAAGCAAACATGGGGGGTTGCAACTGGGCAGGTCCACAGAAACCATACCCAGATCCACTTACCACTGACTATATGGAACTCATCCATTCAACGGCATTTGCCCGAGCCACCTGCTCCACCTCTTGTGACCCATCGGCTGAAGTGGGTTGTTGGGAGTCAAATCCGAATCCACCTTAGTGGCTGACAGGGAGGAAGATGGGATGCCGACAGGCAGGGAGAAGGCAGGCAACATGCATCCAACAGATCGGGATGTGCTGGTTGACACCCCAAGGCTTCGGGCGGTGTCCATGGCGGGTGTAACAAGTGACCATCGGTTTACTATGGTATCACTTTGGATCGAGGAAATTTCACGGGTGTGCATTGGCCAAGTTGTGCATAGGATCGGGCAGCTGGGTCAAAAGGAGACGAAAAGGGATGTCCATGTTGCATCCATTTGATTAGTCCAACTGTGTTTCAATATATGTTTCCATATCACTTTCCCGCTTGTGGGAAATAGGTTTGTCCCTTTACTGTGTGAAGCTTGATAGTTTCATGATGTTTCATTATGGATTAGAGTTTTCATGAGATTTCTGGAACCTGCTTGCAAACATTTGGCAAAGATCAAGTCATCAAAGGAAAACAATCAACACATAACATCAAGTTGAGATATTCGGCGTATTTCTGTCATTAGCTCATTCCAAGGGTGACATGAAGGGAGACGGAAAGGACTATTCATCTCGGGTGTGCCCGTCTTGAACATTTCAGGACTGAATGGAACATCCTTTCAACAAGTTCAACTTAGGATTAAAGAGTCCGATCTTTAAAGCTGGCCCACACCAGTGGTTTTCATTATTTGTGTGTGTGATTTTTGGCAGCCATTTAGGAGCATGGATTATTGTTTTGTGTCCATTCCCAAAAAACGATGTTGGATCCGTCACGCGTTTGATTGGCAGTGCGGCGTGCCCACCGGATGCCACAGAAAAGTAATAAAACAGCTGTGCCACCGGCTATGCCACGCCACGGTGTAGGACATGCAGTTCTTTCGTCCAACGGCCACACTGAGCGCTCCTGAGCTGGACAGCCCAGGGACGGAACCGGGTTCAAACGTGTGGGAGGTCCCGCCTTGCGAGTCTTGCTGGACACATTGTGTCCACTTTTTTTCTGATGTGTTTTACAGGAAGTTCCATGTCTTTCGTCTTGCAGCTTGCAGGCCTGCCGAAAGTGAAACCCTTGCTGTCGATTGCTCCCAAGCAAACGAACTGGGGATCATCAGCGGGAAAGCAGACCCTGTTGAGCTTGACTCTAGTCTGACTTCGTGAAATGACTCAGAAGGTGTAGCATAAGTGGGAGCTCCATTCTTGAAATACCACTACTCTTGCTTCTCGGACATGCCTACAGCTCATCATCTTCAGAGTTTTCATGTTTGGAATCTGAACTAAACATGGCATGTGTTGCCTGCCACCAGCACCTCAGCCCAATGGTCAGCACCAGCACCACCCACAGCACCTCAGGCCGGACAGCGAGCTGCCGGATCGAACTCCATCCTCGCTTCAGCGGAGACCGGTTTCCGGTGGGATGCATCCGTGGGATGGGGCGGTGTGAAGACGGTAGAGAGCAGGAACTGCCAAGAGAGGTTGAGAGACCATATAGGACCCTGTAGTGGTACATATTGGATTATTGGATGGGCTATAGGCTGTAGGACTGTTCATTACATGTGGATGTTTCTCTTGATACGTACTTTCACTTTCTAGCTAGCTGTTTTCCCTCCGCGAAAGTAACATGGAGTTCGAGAAAGATTCGCGAAAGTAAAGTGTTGTTGTAGAATTGTATTTTAATTAGAAGAACTTAGATCAACCACCATACCAAACCTGCAACAAACCCTGGCTGGTGTTCAAGTGGCAAGTGCCAAAGAGACAGGGTTCAACTTTGGGTGACTTTGGGGGAGAGCGTCATGGAGAGTACGCCATGGTACAGATTGTTCAGAAGAACTGACTGGAGGTCTCCAGATGGTTTGGGAATGTTTGAGATGTTACCCATCCAATCAGAATTAGTAACAAGTCTCTTGATCAATACGTGCAACACCATGCATACATTCCCCCGATTGGTGGCTTTCTTTCCAGTTGCTCGAAATCCTCCAACTGCCCTTTTGAAGATCCCAATCTATGCCATCTTTGGATTGCAAATTACTCCTCCATTGCAGAGCTGGGACGCCTGATTTCAAGCTTCCCGGAGGCCGCCTGACTCCGTCAGCTGACTGAGACGCGTGAAAGCTGTAGTAAGTCAAAAGTGTGGAGCAGGTTTGAGAGGGGTGAGAGTTGTTAATGTTGGGGCCTCCACCTATATTCGAAGAATGTCGAAGACATGACCCTGGCTCATAGTTTGAGCCTCAGGGTGAGCTGTGCTGGATTTCGTTTTTTTGGGGTTGACCTATGATGTTTGAAACAGACCCAAGAAACAGTGTATCTGTCGACTCGTACTGGCGTGCTCTCGCAGTCATGGCGACAGAGATGTTGTGGGGTCGACTCCTCCCGCAGCCGATCACTCACATTTTTGTGATTTTGGTGTTTTCACCCAGCCTCCTCTTCTCATGGCGGATTTGGCGGATGTGCAGAAAGCCTTGCAGCAGAAGCGCGAGGAGCGCCTTCGCCATGAGGAGGAGAGACGTTGGCTGGTTCAGCGGGACAGTAAGGAGAGGAAGCTGGCTTCGGCCTTGGACCTGGCCACGAAACGCGCTAAGAAGGTCCCATGGATGTCTTGGATGTTTTGGTTCTTGATTTTCACAGCACGTAGCTGGAAACTTGGTAGACATTGTTATGAGATGTTATGGGATGCTTCGGGAAAGGTTGGTTTGTTGCATCTTGGTTGCTGCTTTGAATTGATATGGTCTTCTAATTATATATATACGTATATATTGCCATGTATGGTTGCTTTTCAGTGTCCCCCAACTTCCACGGGCGAGAAGGAAACATCTTCTGAATTTTGAAAACATTTCTAAGGTCAAGACCATCGATCTTTGCTTTGTGGTGGACCTGACAGCTTCGATGCAGTGCTGGCTGAAGATGGTTCATGAAAAGATCGATGAGATCATTGAGGACAACCTGAAATGCTTGGGAGACTTTGCTCGAGTCAGGGTTGCCGTCGTAGGATACAGGGACTATGCGGACCGGGATCATTTGGTAGTGCTTCCGTTCACCCACAACATCCAGCAGATCAAGAAGTTCTTGCATGGCTTGAAAGCGACAGGTGGAGGCGATGCAACCGAAGATGTCCTGTCAGGCTTAGAACCTCAAAAGGCTAATCAGCAGTATTTAATTGTTTGGAGCCTGAGTGTTCGTTCATTTTTGGAAGTATCCAAAGAGGATGTTATTGTGCAGTCCCAGCCACTGAGTGAGGAAGAGGCATTGAAGCTTGAATGGTCGTCCACCGCCCGGGTCTTGTATTTGCTCAGCCAAACTCCTCACCACGGCTGGCGTTTCCACAAAGCTTTAGAGGTAAACTCAGATCGTGCAACCCTGAAAGAAGCGGTGGCAGCGTCAGAGGTGCAGGACGGAGTGGAACGGAAGGTACAGAGTTTGTGTGAAACGACCTGGTTGGACTGTCTTTGACAGGAAGACATAAGTAGGGAATTTGCACGTTATAAGGAACATGGAGGAATCCAAATCAACACGGGGACATTGGTGCTATTCCATGCTTGTTTTCAAACACTCCGATCGTTCAGGACAAAGAGGAGGCTGAGGCTGCTTTGGCGACCAAGTTCTATGACTTGCATTGCGAGGATCCCAGGCCTGGGAGATGCTCCATGGGACCCAGATGCGACCCATGGGACCGGCGTATTTTCATATACCGATCAGTTGGGGTGGTGGTTTGGGGGTGTCAATTGATCGGCATATAATATGGCAGTCCCATTAGTCGCGTCATACTTTTTCCTACGAGTGAATCATCGTGAATCGTTTAAGATGTTTTTAGCGTTTTCCCCTACGATGCCAATCCTTCCACAGGCAATGGGCACCGATGGATCACGCCCTCCAGGAAGATCAAGCTCGTGAAACGTTCGTGTCGGATCAGTGACATCGTTGTCATTGACCAAGAGAGATTCCAAAGCGTGAATGACATCCTGACTGCAATATGGAGTGATTAGATGTGAACAGACGTGAACTTGGTTTCTTGATTCTGCTTGTATGGGCACATGGTATTTGAAATCCAAGGAATCTGAATCACATCACGACTCCATTCACTTTTTATTCAATGGATTGGAGATAAAACTCTTGCATCATGTGAGTGCCTGCTGAACATTTGGCATGTAAGAGACACATCCACGCTGTGGTCACTACAGGATGGACTCGGACAGTCGAACCAATCGTTGGAAGGAGCTCCAGCAGCAGCAAGTTCAGCTGGTGATGCTCCGTTTGGGGCCGACCACGGAGAAGATGATTCAGGTCGCGGGGGGGGGTAGCGATCCGAATCGGATTCTGCGGATGTGCGAGGGAACTCCCCGGCGAAAGGAAACCAGAAAATGAGGAGCTTTGCAATGCCGGTTCAGCGTATAGGCGACCGTGATAGGCCTAGGGAGACCCCCGACCATTGGACTTTGGCCTATCTTTACTCGTTTTTTGGGGGGTCAATGGGGGTCTCCGTATTTCAATCCGCACCCATGTTGGTCTTTTCTCAGAGTGTGAAGTGAGGGCCCCCTATTTAAGGATCGCAGATTCACCATCAATCAACCAGGGGATCGCTTATCCATTCCTTTATCGTATGTAGGCATGGCTAGCGGTTGACACCAACGCTGAAATAGCGGCAGTTGTTCAATGCTAACTCGATTGCTGTTGAAAAGCTCCTCTGGTTTGGGGCAGTGAGTCAGGAATCAGAAGGTGTTGTGACTCAATCTTTCGATCAGCCAAAGACGATGCAATGGCTAAAACATTGGGGATGCAAGGTCACCATATTAACTCTAACCCGGATCTATTTGGTCCAACGTTTCTCCAGCAGATCTTGGATCTCCAAGTACCTTTCTGTTCCAAGAGCCGCACAAGACTCTCAAATACCCCCCCATTGCGGTTGATGTATGAGGTTCTTCATGGTTTTGCTAAAAAGGGTCTCAGAGCTTACATGGAGCTTCAGCGGCACGCTCAGAGCTCTCATCAGGTCTTCAAGCAGCAGTATTCCGTCCCTGGAGCTGCAGGACTGGAGCTCAAGGTCTACGATGCCCGAAAAGATGCCAAGCACTTGCGCTGCATCGTCTCGTCCTCATCCGTCGCCACATTCAGTGCTTCAGCCTCTCGGATGGGACAAGTTCCAGTCGATAAGCACCAGAAGTTGTTGCCCTATGTAGTGGAGCAGTCCGAACCTGACTGGGACCACAGAGATGAGTGGTGCACAGTAGAAGCCGAACTCTACACCTATACCATTGTGGACGTGGACGAGAAGCCTGTGAAGAGCTCCTGCCCTTTCACAGCAGTGCTGCATCCTCGGCCCTTTGGGAAGGGCGCCATGCGTTTTGCCTTCTATTTGGTCGATCAAGGAAACCCAGACTCGAAGTATGTGGGTAAGGTCTACCAGTTCGAGGACCCAGCCTTCCAACAGCGATCCACTTATGAAGGAGATATGACTTCTCAGGCGGTGGCGGGCTATTTGGCCAAGGAGTTCAGCCTTCAGTATGTGGAAGATCCAATCGAATTTGTGCAGGCCCAGCTGCTTCGCATTTCTTGGGGTGGGATGCCTGGGTCGCGTTTCTTGAGCAGTTGTAGTCATCCTACCACTTACAGTTTCGAATCTAAAGATATGTATATAGATGGAGGTGGTGCGGATTAGAATCAACCTACTCTGATTCCAAAGCCCACTTGGTCCCTATTCCATCATCTTCCAGCTCACAAATAGTGGCCGAGCTACAAACAGCTACAAAGCACCCCATCTGGTCCCGCCTCTTTCACTGTGCTTCAAGAGCCCATCAATTTAAAGGGCCAATAAATAAATACCAATGAACATGATCTCTCATTTACAATACATATGATGGTCAGATGAGGGATCCACCAAGATCCACTCCGGCCAAGTTCGGATGATGTGAACCATCGATTTGGTTGAGAAGTGCGGACGACCCACCCGGATCGATCCGGTCCGGGAGGTCCGGACCTCGGACCGGAGAAAGATCGGAACCAACGGAATGGGTTGTTCACCCGGAGCCGCAGGCGCAGCTCTTGGATTTGGGCGCACACTCAACCTTTCCTTTTCGCTTCATGGCGATCGAGCCATTCATCCCAGGCGAGGGTATAGCGCTATCGGAGTGAAGCATACAAGCAGCCGAGCTGCTGCAAAGAGGGTTTGTCGTGATGAGTGGAATGTTCATGGTTTTTTTCCCTTCACACTACATTTGAAGTGTCCTAATCCCACATTCAGATGCCTTTCTGCATCTTTGCAAGGAACATACCCTTTGTTTTTGTTGCCCAATGTGCAGGCAAGTATGAGAAGTTCACCTCCAATGCAGGGCACATCTCTAAGGACTCGGACTTGGCGCAGGCGTTCTCCCACTTCACCTGGGAATTCACGGCCGGTGACATCATGGTCGCTGACATCCAGGGAGGCGGCAACACATTGACTGATCCGCAGATCCATAGTCAGGATATCGATCGTTTTGGACGTGGGAACTTGGCCACCAAAGGCATGAACGCCTTCTTTTTGAACCATAGGCAGGGTGAAAAAAGGAGTGATGGAATGGAGATGAATGGAAGGCGTTTCAATGTGTTTCAGCTGCCCAAGAGTTGTGTCCTTTCTCCTCTTTTCTTCGCGCGTGGCAATTGTTGAGCGATGGGAGGTGCAACCACATTTGCCATACTCTACAGCTGCAGGGGCATCCTCTTCAGCCGGGCATGGCTCCTGAAGAGGCCATTGCCTTGCCGCTTGCGTCCATTCAGGAAATCGCTGAAAGTCCAGGTTGGGAGCTGCCGATGTGATTCAAGTCTTGACAGGATCCTCTAGGAGCATACACAAGATCACTCACAGCTAAGGGCTACGGGCTACTTGCAATGCCAATCTTTGTTCCCGCCCAAAGATATGACTCCCAAGCTGATCTAATTTTGCTTGGTCCAAGCTTACTCCATCACCACCTTTCAACGACCCTGCTAGGTGCTGGTCCGGCACTCGAGGTTGATTGGATGCCATTGCCCGACTCCAAGCTCCGCCGCTTCCTCGACGCCGTGCGGAACGCTGCAGCTGCCGGATCGACCGGATCGACAGAGACCGCCTCGCTGGGAGGCGCCGTGATTGAGTGGCAAGAGCGGCCCAAGATTGTGAAGGTGCTTCCGAAGCTTGGAAGGTTTGCTTGTTGATGCTTTTGGGAGATGTTGTCTCACTGTTTGCATTTGGGAGTTTAGAAACGCCTAGGGTAGTCTGGTCCGAGATGATCCAGGGTACTCTGCATCTTGCTGGAAGTCTTGCAAGCCTTCAGGAAAGTGTTCTTCTAGAATAGCTAACCTTTAGATACCTTTAGAGATTGATTTATTGGGTTGCTGCTTTCTTCAGGCCCTGGTCAAACCATGGAATTCACCGCACATTCCAGGAATTCGCCGGCCTCTGAAGCCGGTTGTGAGGAAGGCGTGTACTTGCACCTAATTGGCGGACAGCACATCACGGGCGAGTTGTCCAAAGCAGAAGTTCTGCATTTGTTGGCTGCTGAGAACCCTGGCCTTGCGGAGGTTCGGGTTTTCCAATCTTTTCCCCATGCCCCCCTCCTCCTGATCAACCGCTCCCACCCAGTCCATCCAGCTCCCGGGTACGATCACGTCCTTTGGAACCTATGGGACATCTTCCCCGAATAGACTGCTTTGAGTGAACTTTCTGATTGCTACCATAGCTCTGAGCTCATGAACTCATCTCGACCGACCTTCTCCACCTGCATGGCGCACATCCCAGGAACAACATGATGGTGGTCATGGCAGCACCTGAGAAGGTCGAGTCCATTCTCAAGAAGATCTCTGGAGATGAGATCACGGTCCCCATGCTCGAGCTGCTGAAGGGCCTAATCTGCGGCGAGCCCGATGGAGGTGAGGGTGAAACATGGGGGCGCTAAGATCAAAGACCATAACATTCTGGTACATCATCCAGCATTTTGGAGTTTGCTCCAAAAACCTGACATCAATCCATTTCTGCCATGTCCACCCCGGTTGACTCCTTGACCCGGTGTCAGTGTAGGTGGGACATGAATCTCAAGGTGTTGATCTCTGTCCACCACTCAATTTCCTGAGCTGAGGTAGTTAGGAGGGAGCAACGGCTCGGGTCGGGAAAGTCTCTTCCGAGCCGCACTCCCGGCCGGTGAGTCTTCAACCCCATTGGGAACTGATTGGGGGTCCCTTTGACAGTTCAGGCGAGCTGAACCTAACGCGCCCCAAAACTCCTCGCTCCTCACGTGGCCGATCCCATCGCTCCGTGCGCCCGGTGTCCAAGCTGTCCGGTGTCTCATGCGCCGGCTGCGCAGGTGTTTTGGTCATGCGTAAGAATCTCAAAGGACGAGCTCAGAATCCGATCTTCCTAACTCAACCCATCAAGTGACGGATTGTCCATGCAGCCATGACAAGGTGCCAGTCTTCTGGAGTTCCTTGCAGCCTTGAGCGATGAAGGTGCACTGAAGCCCTTGCAAGGTGGGCTTGAGAAAGAGGTGGCGAAGCTTGGCAAGTTTTGCTTTCAGAAAAATCTGGGCCAAATCAACTGCACCCCATCTCAGCTAGTTTCTCTTCTCCAGGAATTTTCCTGCCAGGTGTTTGGGGTTCCCAATTCGCGAGCGGAAGTAATCAGAAGCACCTCCCATCGTCGTGTTTTTTCCTTTGAGCATGAAGATGAGGAAGATGAGGCTGCTGGAGGGGCTGAACTCAGATGCCGCACATCGACTGCAGCACCCAGATAGCTCAGAGGGTACTAGTCTTAGAGGGTGGCCAGGGATGAGTTTCATGGCCAGTGAACGGATGTGTGTGTGTGTGTGATGTCCATTAGCTTTTCGACTGTTGGCATCATGAAGGTTTTGTGATACCTCACAGATGAGTTTTTCTGCGTGCATGCTCAGATGTAGGGTCTTTGCCTCTGTCCGGTGTCGCTGCACACATGCAATAATTCCTATAAAAAAACTTCCGGGGGACGGGATCAACCGACCCTCTTTTTCTTAAAAAGACACATGCAAGTTCACCGCGCAGGCTAGTGCCTTTTTTTTCAGGTGGTGTTCTTTATGTCTCTTCAATGATGTCGAAACGCTCCACAAAAAAGGCCGAGTTTCGACTGCGAGAGATTCTGAGCTTTGTTGTGTCATTTTTTTGTCTCCGACGTACAAAAACGGTCAGAGGATTTGTTGCGTAAAGTTCCTTTTGCCCGGTCCCTTTGAGTAAAGTTCCGTTTCTTTTGCGCAGACATTGATATTGCTCTTGGAATTGCCCAGTATAGTGGAGAAGCAAGGCCGGGGGTTGAGTTTCTTGGTCTTTAGCCGCGTGCGCAACGAAGCGGAAACTTGCTCTTTCGAACATTTCCAAAGAGCACACATCGAAATGTCACGGAGGTGTCTCCGATGCACCTTGTTTCCATAGTAGCTTCTTGTTCCTAGTAGTAAGGCCAGGAGCGCCCCCGTTCGGTTCGCGTCCGATCGCTCCGTTCGAGTCGCGATGCACCTGGTTACGTCCGTAGACCGACGCACTGACGGCATCCGCTCCGTCCGAGAACGCGTTCGGTTCGCGGTTCGATCGCGGAGATCAAACGCTTCAGAAGAGACCGAGCGGAGACCGAGATCGCGGCAGTTTGATGGAGAAGGTAGCAAAAAAGAAACGCAAAGAGGCATACAGAGGCCCAGGACCTTCTAACAAGACTGGAGAACTAAAGAAGCGTTCAGCAATGAACATGGATGAACCGGAGACGTGTCAGACGACTGAAGAACCAAAGAGTCCAAGTACGACAATGCCACGACAAAGAAGGGGCCATCACTGCGAGGTGATATCAAAATGATAACCAGACAAACCACTGGAGCCAAAACCAACACAAGAGCCAAAACCAACACAGGAGCCCCTTCCGACCATCGAACCGGAGCTGCAACGGAGCAGGACACGACAGGGGGGGCTGTGCAAGGGGTCGCTATGACCCTACTCACCCAACCCCTTTGAACGCGTTCCACAAGCCGAAGACATGAGAACATTAATCAGCTGATGTGGAACAGCACAATAAGAAATGAAGGCTGCAAGCCAGCAAGTATAATGCATATTACTATATAGTATCACCCGACACCATGCAACATGCACTTAAAATAGGGGCTGGTTAAGCCCGGGGTAGCAAAAGCTTCAAGAATCATGTTGAAAAATGGACATGGCTAGTTGGTTGCATGAAAGAGTGGAACAAAAAGCTTTGAAAGACGGTCAGAGATTTGGTTCCGCTGTGACAACTGTACCGTTCTTGTGAGTGTGCAAGGTAGACTTGCATGTAGAGTTTTCATGAGCTTGCAGTAGCAGTACTCCAAAATGAGAGCTTGAAGAAAGGCAATTGGCTCTTGGAATTGATAGGATGGCCACAAAGGGGTGCATGTAAATGGCCAAATCTTCTATGTTGGATGATGTTGTTTGTAATAGGGTGGGTACAAACCCTGGCTCGGCCCAAACATGCTTCTCCTCCAACTTAAAGAGGACGAGGATTCCTGACAGCCAGCTTCCTGACACCTCAGGTTGGAATTCGCAGCTGAATGCGCCTTACGACACCTTGGCTGGAGCCACCTTCGTTTGGACCAACCCTCCGACCATTTGGGCGGTCATGAAAGGATCAATCGCAGAGGGACAGATGTCCAAGGGCACCTCGGTGGCGAACTGGGTGGCGAAATGCTAAAGGGATTGCTCCCACCAGTCAGTCCTGCAAGTAACTCCAGCACTGCGCCTGGAACCGTCCAAAAATCATCCACTCACAAAAGTTTGCAGAGGCGCTTGGGGAAGTGTCACTGGTAGTTTGCATGTTTAATTTAGGTGGCGGGATTAAGGATACCCCAACAAATGCAGTAGCCATGTTGCTTTAAGAAGTCGTTTGGGAATCTCCTAATCTCAATTTGCTGGATTTTTCTGGTATGGAGCCTCCTGGTTGCCGTTGTCTCTTAGATATTTGAAAGGTGGTGTAAGCAGCGGGAACTGACAGATGGAGGGGGTGTGGACGATCACTACTGTCGTGTGCGGTTTTCCTCGTTCTTTGGTGCTGCATCTTCGAAAAAGCTACACAAACTGAGAAGCTGCCAGCAGCAACTGACCATTAACTTGCCTTTTTTACATCTTATACCTCTGGGTGTCACAGAAGTACCCATGTTGACATGTTGCTTGTCACATCTGTACCTTCTGTTCCTTGGTGCTGTCGCTGTTCCAGCGGCAAGTCCACCTGTTCGGGATGGAGCATGCACTGGTCGCCATGCGAAACGAAGTGAGTAGATCGAGTAGCCCTTCGAATGAGTCGATTGGCTGGGGGTCATGTTGGAAAAGGATACCAATTCAGTTGGAGATCGAACGCGGTGAAGGGTGGACAACGGTGAAGGGTGGACCGAATATGGTGGGTCACGACCCATCCCCATGGTGGCCCATTATTTGGGGTAGATCGCTGCATAGCGATGGCCTCCAACGCAATAGCGATGGCCAACCTAATAGCGATGGTCTCCAACCCAATAGCGATGGCCTCCAACCCACTAGCAATGGCCTCCAACCTAATAGCAATAGCGATGGCCTCCAAGGTAATAGCAATGGCCTCCAACCTACTACGATGTACTATGTATCATTCCCTTTCGATGTTGATCCATCCATCATCCTGGCATGGAGAGCACGACTGGTCCTGACGGGCTCCTGGGATGCCTGGTCAGATTTTGGGTTCAGACGGTTCGAAGTGGTTCACTTCTGGTTTAGACCTTCTCACTCACCGGATGGTTTCAACCTTTAATTACTTGAACTTTATTGCCACTGACTCATCTTTTTCTAAGTGAATTGACAGCACCAAGCAGCCCAGCGGAGGCGACACACTCATCAGCATCGATGGAGAAGAAGTTCAAGGCCTTTCTCGCCAGGACGTCTTAGAGAAGCTGCAGAAATGCCAGGGCATTGGCCTGGGGCGTGGCAAAATGACCACGAGTGACTTGACATTGCAGAGGGGATTGGACAGTCCTGTACGTTTTGATATGCTTGAATGGCTCGCCGTTTCATCATGCTTGAGCCAAGAATTGCAGAGTGAGTGGATTGTTGAACGTGAATCCTCCAGAATCATGGCTCGTCTTTATGACTTTGGGTCCACTTTGGGTCATGTTTTCTTCCACGACTAGAGCCGCGACTGCGGTTGTGTGCTAGGTGTGCTGCATGGCCTCAAATGCGTCCCGAACGTTTCGCCCATCCGTGCTCGCGAGGTTTCGATGGTTTTGATGCTGTGAGCGGCCTGGAAACCAGCACGTGGCGTGGAAGGAAAATCATTTGGACCGACCCCCCCAGCTTTGAGGATGATGACATTCTCGTGGAGACAGGTGGTGCCAACTTCTTTGGGAGACCCAAACAGGAAGTTTTGGCCATGCTGGAAGCTTCAAGCCAGATGACTTCCTTGAACATTGCCAAAATTCGCCTGGCAGCATCGGTGAATTTCCTCAAGATTGGCCTCCAAGAGAAGTTGGAAGGAGATCAGCAGCCTGTCCACTTGGGTTTTACTTGCCAAGGTTGTGAGCGAAAGCCTTTGATCGGAGCTCGCCACACATGCAAAGACTGTGGTGTGCACTTGTGTGGTGCTTGCTTCCGAGGTCGGGCACATGCGCATGTGTCTGGTCACTGCTTCTTGGTGCATGAACACGCCGGCGCCAGCGCCTCCGGTGCAGCTCCGGTCATCCCGCTGGCGGAAGGGTCGCCTGTGGTGGTCATTGGCACAGGCCAAAAGTGGGATGGACAGCCAGGGCTGGCCACGGCACCGTTATCTTCTGAAGCTTCCTCGCTTTGGTCTGTGGTGATGGAAGGTGAGGATGTGTGTTTAGAGCTTGAAGCCAAACACCTTTTCCTTCGTGAGCCACAGAAGACCGGTGATGAGGCAGCCCCAGACTTGGACAAGGAAACTGAAACCAAAGCTGTTGAAGCTCCGCTTCCTGATCTTCTTGCTCCACTTGCGGCCGAAAGCCCGAAGTCAACTACACCAGCTCCAAAACAAACCGAAGCTCGGCGTCCTGCTCCGAGAGCGACCAAAAGCCCGAAGCCAGCTACACCAGCTCCAAAAGGAACTGAACCACGCTTCACCAAAGTCCAATCCAAGAAGGTGGAGGACTTCACGGTTCAGGGCTTAACAAGGCAGCGATCTGCACGAGAGCTGAGGCAGGCCAAGGGGCAAGAAGCCTTGGAACGTTTCAAGGCCGCACCCCGCACCGCCCACAAAAGCACTTTCCTTTGCAAAGGAAAATGTGGCAGAATGGTGGAGACTGAAAAGGTGGACTACATCAAGAAAGGGCAAGAAGGTGTCTTCTGTGAGCTTTGCACCAAGAAATGCAAGGCTTCAAGGAAGCAAGCGCTTTGCCAGAAGTGTAGGGCAGGCTTTGTGTACTTTCAATTTGTTTTGGACTTGGAAGGTCGTGCAGTGCCCCGTCTTTGTGACAATTGCCGTGACAGCCAGGCTGATGGCTGGGCCATTGTCAGCCCATGTCCCGCGCGAGCGCCGTGAGTGGTCTCATTTTTAAACAGGTCTATGCTTGGGGAGATGTAGCGTGCTTGAGACCCAGAATGGCATGTTTACTTGATGGCTCTTGCTTTTGCGGGACTTGCATGAAATTCATCAGTGATGCGGCGGTTGTAGTACAATCAATCTTTAAGAAACAGATAAGTGCCTGACACACGAGCCTAAAAGCCAAAATATATCGAAAACGATCGAACATATATTCAAATTTGATGACGAATTTTATGTTATTTAGATCTTTAAAATAAATTTATATATATTCATATTATTGGACACAATAATTTAAAGAATCTAATAAAAAACCGAAATATCTTTAATTATCAATTAATATCTATGCTTGATTATAAGTAATTATAGATTCTTCTTAATTATAATATATACCCTAGATTCTAAGCGCATACACGTGTGGATGCATAGTTTGGGTTTAGTAGAGAAAAATGTGGATTGGGTGGATGGCATGATATTGGTTAAAAGTGGGATTCTTTGAGCTTAATTGGGGGGATATATTGTTATAGGAATTGATTTTAATGTATGTTTAGGCTATGGAACGTAAGTCTATTGGGAATTTTAAATTTTATGATTTTCTGATGCATCCGACCAAAGTATATTATAGAAATTTTTGCCGAGGCAAATGTTCGGTTTGTCGTCCTATTGCTTGAAAATATTTTTCATTATTCGGTATGCTATAATAATATTAATATTTTTCGCTTATAGAAGTGCTAACACCGAGGTTGCGTATTAATTTATATTGCATAGATTTGAGGTTTTAAGAGTCTAAGGTCCCTGAAATAAAGCAAAGAAGAAATATTTAAAAAATATGAGGGTTAGTTAGTGTTTACAAAAACTTGAATTTTTACGGGTACCAAAACAAAAACCATATAAAAATGAAAAATCTATTGAAATTTTAGGAGTTCTGAGTTGTGCAAGGTTGGTAACAAGAGAATCATTGGTCTTTTTGTATTTTTTTTTTGGGCTAAGATGTCAACAAAGAGTGGAATAAAAGGTTATTTCAAAGAATTGAAGCAACATGGGCACTGATAAAGGCATGTGGCATTTGGCCTCTGGGTTGCTGCAATTTCGTTGATTTCAACCCTGCCGTGGGGAAGCCAACCTTAATTAGCACGAGAACGCTTTTTGCATGCACACGTATTGGTGTAACAATTTTCCAAGTTGCAAACGTAAGTGTTCAAGGAGCTCTTCTTGAAATTGAGAGTTTGGCTAGCCTCACAGCAGGGTTGTAATAATATGTGCGCCTCTATTAGTCATAATTGGCCTCGGGAAGAGTTGAAGTAGTTCCAAATAATGCACGAGTTTCAATCGACACAGCAGCCACAGGTCTTTAAAAGCAGGGAGAAGCAAGGTGAGGGCTGGCAAACGGCGTTGTCGAAAGGCCTAAAGAGTGACGGCGCTGCCAGGCTAAAGCGTAACATGCACCGGCTCTGCTAGGCAAGGCTGCGGTGTAGGAGTGGGCCAGAGGCTCCGGGGAGGGTTTGAGGGCTGGCAAACGACACGATCTATTTCCACCAAAAATTGGTCCAAAACGGGCCTCGATTGGTCGCACTTTCGCTGCCAAACGCTGCTTCTGGATCCCTAGAAAAGAATTGGTTTTCACCCATGTTCTCGCCCATCCTGACC